AGCCACGTGTGTTTAGAGGAAAGCATTCCAGGCAGAGACTAGGGTCAGGAGCAGATTAGAGGGGCACAGGCAGACACAAGCAAAGACCGGGGTGTACTCAGGCTCATGGACCTCAGCTGGGAATTAGACTTGAGCGTAAATGTGACTTCAAGGCACAGAGGGCTCTGTGCAGTGGAGTGTTCTCCCTTATCTTTTCTGAACATTTACTCCAGCTTTCTGAACATTTACTAACTGGAGAGTGAGACAGGCAGGCGGCACAGGGCAGGAGTATAGGATAGAGTTGCCGGACGGAGTCTGGACAAAGGCATCTGAAAGCAATTGGATTTGGGTAGAAGCATGGCACCCACTGATGGGGTTTAGGATCCAGAGCCCAGGCCTGGAGAGATGGCCTCAGAAGACCACAGTAGGGTCAGCCCAGGTATAGGCAGGATGGACGCTCAGCAATACCCAAGAAAAGAGGCTGATTTGTTCAGTGCATGTGTTGAAAATGAGCAAACAAGCAGGTGCAGAGAGAGATACGGGGAGAAGAAATGAAGACAGAGATGATGGCAGCGAGGAGGAGGAGGAGGAAGAGGGAAGAGCAGGGTGGAGGGCTTATGCCTGAACTCTTGCACTCCCTAAGCACTGGCTGTGGGCTCCAGATTGAAGGACAGCCAGATGCCCATGAACTTCATTCAAGTCTCATGCCAGCTCTTCCAGGAAGCCCTGGTGAGCGGAACCCAAGCCCCAAAGTACTCAGGAGTCAAGGTCAACTCATGGCAGGGCTGGGTCACAACAGGGGAAACTTGTTCCTCCTAGGCCAAGTGTCTTTGTACCGAAGGAAGGAAAATTTCTAATTTGTCACTTAATAGCAGGAAAACTTTTTTAAAAAAATAAAAATTATCTTAGTTGAGAGGAAATAAAGCATCCTTTTGTGATTCTGGACCTTCAGAAGTCTGTTCTTTGGAAGACAAGGTCCTCTTGGAGATGACTCTCTTCTGCTTTCAGGCCGTGTGGGAAGCATCTGGCACAGCGATCTTTCTTGTGGCTAGTGGAGAATGTGCAGGGCCAGGGCAGCTCTCAGGCTGGGCAGTGTATTCCAAGCCTTCTGGAATAGAGGGAAGGACAGGGCATCTTCTTGCCTGGGCTGCCCTTTATAATTTCTCTAGGACATCTAACACCTGACAAGGGTACGAGGAAGAAGATGTTGGGGCCAGTGGCCTCTGGTCTGGTGGGAGGGATGTAGCAAAAGAAGGTCCTGGGCCACTGCTGGGTTCCAGAGCACCAGAACTGTTCTCTGGGCTCTGGAAAAGGAGTTTTAGTGTCAGGATGGAGTTGACCTGATCAAAGACTCTTTCTCCTGGGACCTTGAACTTAGGAGGGTGACATCTGCCCACAGCAGGCTCTGGATCCCCACCCCATCCCAGCCTGGTGCATCTCCTTCCTTGGGGGTCTGGTCATCCAGACGATTCTCATGGGCTTCTAACAAATGCCCCAATCAGGGACTTTGGGGAGACTTGCCAAAACTTTTATAATCTTCCTTGATTTTGTTGTTGTTTTTGGTCTGAGGGAGGGATGCGTTCCCTTCCGTTATGAAAGTGTCTCTCAGCTAGAGGAGCTCTCAACTTATTATCATGTGCTTTCCCCACATAAACGGGCTTCCCTTATAGCCAGCAGATTTTTTTTTTAATTTTTCTGAAAGAATTTGGGGTTGTATTTTATAGGTGTCTAGCTCATTGTATGGGTGGCTGATCTTGTCATCTGCTTTTGAAAGATTCTTTTCAATCTTTGCAGGGTGTATTATTTGCAAATCGGGTATTTGATGAAAAAAATTCTTCCTCCCATCCCCCGCTAGATGCAATTCTAAGAGAACTTGAAGTTTTCACTGGAGCTTCTGACTTTTCTATGAAGTTTTTTTTGTCTTTTTTGGAGGGGTGGGGGGACTTGTTAAATAGTTTGTTTTTTTGGTCTTCACTAAAGCTTTACCCGTTTGGAGACTTTTCACATGATCTTAAGTGCATCAATTATTTAATCTTCTTTAAACTTCATTCCTTTATTGTTCAAGAATTTTTAAAAAGGAATTTAGCTCAGCCACATCGGTCACAATGTGGGAAATTCCTTTTGACTCTCATTGTGTGTGGTCCCTGTCCCCTGATTAATTTAGTCTTTCACCATCCCTGCTGTCCCAGGGTAGCATCCCAGGGACTCATTCCCCACAGGTGTCCCCAGAGAGGTGTGGCCAGACTTTCCGGAGCATTTTTCTGATATTCTCTCCTTCTGTGTCCTATTCGCTCACTTTTCCTTTCATTCCTTCAGCTTCCTGAGAAAGCTGCTTTTTTAGACTTCCCTGAAGATTGCAACGTGCCTTCAAAGCATCTTTTAGAGCTGCCTGAAGCTGTTCTTCATTCTTCTGATGAATTTTGAAGGATGTCACAGTGGCAACTACTTGATTTTGCATGTATTCTGATTTATCTTGTAAAGACTGTATCTTTCTGGAAATATCAACTTGCCTTTTCAAATCCATTTTTTTGTGGTAGTAGAATAAATAACATAAAAGTTCCCACATTAACCATTTTTAAGGGTACAGTTCATTCCCATTGTGTAGTGCAACCGGCACCATCATCAATCCACAGACCTTTCTAATGTTCCCTAATTAAAATTTTGCACCCACTAAACAATGACTCCTCTTCCTCTCAGCCTTTGGCAACCAACATTCTCCTTTCTGTCTCCATGAATTTGATCCCTCCGAATACTTCACACAAACAGAATCATCCAATATTTATTCTTTTGTGACTGGATTATTTCATTTTAACATAATGTCTTCAAGTTTCATCCATGCCATAGCATATGCCAGAATTTCCTGCCTTTTAATGGCCAAATTATATTCCATTGTATGGACATACCACAATGTGTTTATTCACTCATCTGTCAATGGACAAATTGACTTTTGGCTATTACGAATAGTGTTGCTAAGAACATAGATGTATGTGCTTTCAGTAATTTGTGATAAATACTCAGAAGACAAGTTTCTAGATCACATGGTAATTCTATTTTTAATTTTTTAGAAAATCTCCATGCATAACATTTTATATTCCCATCAACAGTGCTCAAAGTTTCCAATTTTTTCACATTATGACCAACATTTATCATGTTTTGTTTGTTTATTTGATAAATACCCATCTTTTTGAGTGTGAACAGGTATCATTGTGGTTTTGATTTGCATTTCCTTAGTGATTAATGATGATGAGCATCTTTCACATGCTATTGGTCATTTGTGTATCTTCATTCAGAAATGTCTATTCAAGTTCATTGCCTGCTTTTCTTTCTTTTTTTTTTTTCCTTTTTCTTTTGAGATAGAGTCTCAAGCTGTCACCCTGGGTAGAGTGCTGTGGTGTCACAGCTCACAGCAACCTCAAACTCTTGGGCTTAAGCAATTCTCTTGCCTTAGCCTCCCAAGTAGCTGCGACTACTGGCACCTAACACAACACCCAGCTATTTTTTGGTTGTAGTTGTCATTGTTGTTTGGCAGGCCTGGACTGAACTTGAACTCACCAGCTCCAGTATATGTGGCTAGCACCCTAGCTGCTGAGCTACAGGGGCCGGGCCCTTGCCTGCTTTTCAATCAGGTTCTTTGTTATTGAGTTGCAGGAGTTTGCTATATATTCTGGATATCAATTTCCAATTAGATATATGATTTGCACTTATTTTCTCCCATTCCATGGATTGCCTTTTCACTCTGTTCATAGTGTCCTTTTATTTACAAAAGTTTTTAAATTTGATGTAGTTCAATTTATTTATTTTCATCAACTTGTTTTAATTGTTGAGATTCATCTTCCTTTAGCCTTTCTTGGTGTCTGTTCTAAGCCCAAGTAAAAAGTTGTATCTTTGTAGTTTTTTAACTGATGGCCTTCAGTTTTATAAATATTGATATTGGCTTCTGTTGCAATTGAATGCAAATTTGCTTTCAATTAGCCCAAGCTTCTCAAAAATGTGTTGTTTTTCTCCAGAAGGATAGAGATTCAAATGCCACTTCATCTCTACCTGAAAGAAGTCTGTTCTTAATAATGACAAATACAATGATGGCCAAAGCTGACATCTCACATAGCAACCCATGGGGACCTGGACCTACTCTAAAGTTCCCCGAAACTGCTGCCATCACCTGACACCCTCTTTCCAAAACCAGCATGGCACAGAGCAGAGTGAACTATATACATGTATATGATCACCACATTAGACAGTATTATTTTGTTCAGTCAACAAACATAATTTAGAAAATCAAAGACGAGAAGGAAAATCTATTGTATTTACTTTAATTTTTTATCTTCATGGAGCCTTTCTTCTAGATATTCAAACTTTTTTTTTATTTTGTCCTTTTCTTTTTGTTTAGACAAATTAATTGCTTCTCAGCCTTTTGGCTAAGATCAAGTGTTGTTCAGACAAATTCCTTTTCCCTTTCTTTTAGATTACATCTACCCATGAGAGATTATCATAGTTTCTCTTCATCTGAGAATATCTTGATTTTTTTCACTTCCCAAAAGATTGTTTTCACTGGACATAGGACTTTGAATTGGCAATTTTTTAATCTCAGCTCTTGAAAGATACTCTACCACTCTTTCTAGCCTCCATGGTTTCTGATGAGAAATCTATGGTCTTTCAAAATGTTTCTCCCCAGTATATGTTTTTGTCTGCTTTGTCCATGGAGATGGTATACCCCTTTCATATTTTGCAATTAAATATATATATGTACATATATATCTCCCTTATATATAAGGTGTTGTTTTCCTCTGGCTGATTTTAAGATTTCTTTTTTCTTGTCTTTAGTTTTTAGAAATCTAATTTTGATAAGTCTAGGTATGGATTTCTTTGGGCTCATCTTATTTAGGATTCATTCACTCAGTTTCTACAGTCTGTTTATGTCTCTTGGCAAACTTGAGAAGTTTTCAGTCATTCCTGACTCAAGTACTTTTTCAATCATTCTGTCTTTTGCTTCTCATTTGGGTCTCTAATAATATAAATATTTAGTGTTGTATGAAAGGAGAAGTTATCACTTCCCTTGACAAGGATGGAAGAGGCCCTGGGCCTGACAACACATATAAGGTTAGGGCATTGCCACCTACTTGGTGGTATCTAACCATCATTTTTACACATTCATACGAATGATAGAACACAAAGATAGTCCAGAAAGAAGGAGGGGTGAGGATGGGGGGGAGGAGGAGTGGAGGGAGGGTATTTGGCAGGATCTCGCCTATTGTACACAATATGAGGATACATTTTAAAACAACTAAGAGTATGTTACAAGTGTCTTACCGCAAAAATAAGTAAGTGAGGTTATGGTTATGTTAATTAGTTTGATTTAAGCATTCCACATTGTATATCAAATCATCATTTTGTACCCCATAAATGTATAAAGTTATGATTTAATAAAAATTAAGTAAATATATGTATATATGTATTTAGAGTATTTTTGCTATAATGCTACAGGTTCCTGAGTCTCTGTTCATTTTTTTCCTAGACTATTATGTCTTTGTTGTTCAAACTAAGCATGTTCTAATGTTATATATTCAACACATTCTTTCCTCTGTTCCCTTAATTCTGCTATTGAACTCATACACTGAGATTTTTTTCCTATTTGTTTCATTTTGGTATTATACTATTTAGTTTTAAAATTTCCATGTGGCTTATCTTCATATATTTTATTTATTCACTGTGACTTTTACGAGACCTTCTATTTTTTATTAATTTGGTTTAAGCATGTTTACATTTGCTCACTGAAGCATTACTATCACAAATTCTTTAAAATATTTGTCATATATTTGTAACAGAATCTATAAACACACTGTTGGTGCTTTTTTTCTTGATCTGTACCTGTTGGCGTTTTCAGGTTTCTGAATTCTTCGGTGCCATCTCTAGGATGTATGAGGCAGAATGGAAACTCAAAAGAATTCAGCATCAGGTCATTCCTCAGGTGCTGAGGTCCTAACCAGTCTGCATTTTTTTTCCACCTTTCAGAATATTATTATATTTGTTTTATATATAATTCCAGGATTTTTTATTGTACATAATGAGATGAATAGAAGAAAGTGCATATATTCTGTCTTCCTATTGCAGGAGTATTTTTATGAGCAGGACAGACCAAAAGTGCCAAGGAACTAATACCCCAGAAACAACACTCGAGCAGAGATGGACGGACACCCCAGAGCCCTCAAGCCTAGGTGCTCCCATGAAGTACACAGACTTTCAGAGATTTTTAGTCAGATTGCACTCCAGTGGCCACAGTAATCATGTTTTCATCAGTGGACCCCTCATTAATTCTCTTTTCCTCCCCTTTGACTTTCTCCCTCTCCTAATAGTCCTTCCTGGAAGCCCCTCCCAAATCAACTCTTGCACTCACCTCTTTGTCTCCAGATTTGCTTCTGGGGGAACCCAATTGAAGTCAGTTGGCTTCATGTAGTAAGGACAGATGGCAAGGATGATCTCAGTGGAGAGAGTTAAGACATAGGGAATAAAAGGAAAGCTTATGATGGGGTGCATTGCTCCATGGGTTAAGCGTGCAGTAATCAGCCTCCTCTCCTCATATTCCCCCAGAGAATTTCAGACTAAAGACTTTGAGTCTTGCTGTGTCCTTATGTGACATTTGCAATACCAACAACTTCCAAATCAGCACTGCCTGCAGACTTCATTAGGGAGCCACAGATTCCTTTCCCAGCCTCTAATTTTGCGCATGCTCTGTGCAAGCAAAGTAGAGGTGGGAGTTCCCACCTCCCTCCCGGTAACCTGGCGTTGGCCCTGGGGGCGGGGACCATGGTGCTGGAGGGATGTGTGTGTGCTGTGGCTGACTTTTAATAAACATTAATGTGGAGGAGGAGATTGGTTAGAGCAAAATTTGGTTCAAATTAGAGCTGGCAAAGCAGAATCCAGTTATCCACGGGAAAGAGCGACTTGGAGCAGGCCAAGATTATCACGCCACCATAAATCAGGGGGAAAGAAAAACACGCCTTCCCTCGCCTCCACCCTCCTCCTCCTCACACTAATGGTTTCCAGCCCTGACCATGGAATGTTTTGTTTAAGGCAAGAGTTGTTGGGCATAATTAGTAATTCTATTATAGTAATATATCTTTATCTAAATAAACACAAACTGCTTTCCTACCATGAGGAATTATGTGGTGAGGTTGGGGGGAGGAGATAACCTGGCTGAGGTTTGGGGGTGCTGCGGGTGTCTGCCCTGGATTTCACGGCAGTCCTGGAGTCAGGGCGGCTGTTCCCAGGTCGTCTGTCGGGTAAGTAAATGGGCTGATAGGAGATGTGTTATCAGAGGCTGAGTCATGGCAGCTGGCCTCCGACGGGATCCCCAGTGCAGAGTGTCTCCTGACACTTTCTCCTTCCCTAAAAAACCCCAAAGAATGTAGGAGAAGAGAGACGATTCCAGCTTTCTCCCTGTGCCCACTTTCCTCTTAAGAGGAACCCCACACACCTGCTTGGATGGAAGGTATAGTGTGCACACAGACACACACACACACACACACACTCTTAGGACTGTATTTGTCCACATGGCAGTCTCCAGCCGTTTGCCCTTGGAGTCCCTGGTAGCCAGAAGCGAACAGGGCTTCCCCAAATGTGGTACATCAGAGAAGGTAACACAAGGTTCCCAACAGATTTTAAAAGCAAAAACTAAGCAGGTCCCTCCACTTTTCTCTACCTGCTTCCTCCAGGAAGTTCTCACGTGTTCTCTCGACAGTGGACAATAATCACATACTCTTCCAATTAACAAATGTTGGCTTTACACATAAAGGGATTTTTCTATGTGACTATGTATAAATATAATATAGGTTCATTTTAGAACATTTAGAAAATGACAGTTATGGGGGAGGGGTCATGAAAACAATTCTTAGCCACAAAATCCACATATAATAACTCTGCTACAGTTCCTTCTAGTGTTTTTTTCTATGCAAGATACGTTGGTTGGTTTGATTGACCTAGCTATGATCAATTTTATAGACAAGCTTGTGAATGCTTGCTACGGCAGGCCTTATGCTTATCTAAGCCAAGCCAGGACACCTCAGTGGCCCTGAAAGACAAAAGAAAGAGGAGATTCAGAGATTATAGTTGCCATTACCTCTCTGTCCCAGTCAGACAAGGGCAAGGAGTGATGCTTTGGCTACGGAAGCTTTTATAAATTCATAATTGCCTGTGTTCCTTCATTTGCAAAGATTCATTTTGGAAGGTCATTAAGTCCTCACAGTGGAAGCCCATCATGATAAGAGTCACACAAGCTGAGGACTTTACCCTGAGATGACCTGGGTGGAGTCAAGACTAACTCAACTGTTACCAAAGTCCATGCAGGCTCCAAAGCACTGGATTCTTCACAGGGACACTGTAAGTCAGAGCTCTTACAAACTGGCTAAGTAAAGGAAAAGTTGAGGTAAGAGTTTAAAAGAGAGAGAAAAAAATAAAATTGAGGAGTTTAGGCGCAGCTGCTTCAGAGCACTTGAACAAAGTGGTCACTACACAGTCCCTTTTCCATTGTTCTGATCTGTTGTTCTCAGGCTCTCCCATTACAAATGACTTTGACTTTTCCCATGCCTCTTTGGGAACAGACAGATCATCTTTTTTCCAACACATCAATTCAGGGAAGGATTTTAACTTGACTTGGCAGGATCAAGGGCCTGTGCAGGCATTCATCTGCATGGTCGAGGGATGAACTTCATGCCACCATTGCTATGGCCAGAAAGATGGGCTCTGTGGAATGTGGAGAGTCAGAGTTTCCAGACAGTCAAGAGCAGTTTCCCATATCCTACTCTGAGTTTATAGGAATCCTCCATCAGAGCTGCTGAGGAGCATATTGGCAAAGTATTTGTGGGGTCGTCCCATAGCCAGTTGTCGGATCCAATGACACCAAACCCACCTATATCCACTTCCATTTTACTCTTATTTCCAATGTTCCATTGCACATACAAAGAGACAAAAATCACTTTTTAAAAAACCATCCCTTTTTCAACGTGGCTCCTTGAGCAGTGAGGTAGGAAAGGTTGGCCAGGAAGGCATAAAGTTGATCAGACATGACTTGGAGTTTGCAGGTGGCTCAGCCTTGTTGGAAAGGCCAGCACCAGGATGCCAACATTCCTGCAGTCCTAGAAGTTAGGAGGAATGGGGCGAGCCCTTCCTTTTTCCTCCTTTATATTCAGCAGAACTCCACACACCCGTAGGCACTGGCCTTTTACTGGGCATCCAGAAGCTCATGTTCCCTTCACATTGCAAACAACTTTGCTTTGGCCACTTGTCAGCAAAAAGAGAGCAGATTGATCAGAACATCAGACTAGAACTCAGTCCAAGGTGCTAAGTCAGAGAAGACCACTGATACTCTGATCTCCTTCTCACTGCCCACTTTTAGGCAAACCAGTTGTCTGGGGCATCACTCTAGGGATGGTAGGGGAGCCTCAGCAACACCAGAATCTAGCAGGTTCAGTGACCTAATATTACTCAGGATCCTAGAAGAAAAGAGTATTTTTTAATCCCTGATAGTTAAAATTAAGGGATTCTAATGAAGAGACTTCTTAAGAGTATCAGGAGAGTTCAGGGAACAAACAAAGGGTGCTAAGGTTTTGCAGAGCAAAGTCGCTTACCATCCCTAGGCTGCAGGAATAAGAGGAGAGTACAGTATTGTTGGAGAAGGGTCCTCAGGTAGGAGCTGTAGTCACAATAGGTGTTGGGGAGCTACTGCCAGAAAAGGGGCACCCAGAGGGATGGAGAAGAAGTACTCTGACCTCTCTCTACTTCTGCCCTCTGACCACCTGCTGGAAGCTCCCACTGGCCAATCCTAACTAAAGAGCAGTGGCAAGGGAGCCAGGTGATAGCATTTATAGAGGATGATCTTACACGTTACAGAGGACAGAGAGTATTTGAGGGGGATAAAGGTTTGCCAACATAATAATACCATGAGGAAGAAAGAGGGAGGAGAAAGCATAATAACCAAAACAAATCCTTCCCAATGGATACCCACTTGCCAATCCAAGAGGCAGGCAATGGGCTACCAGTGGGAGCTCCTCATTGTCCCCTGTCCAGCTCCTAGCCAAACCCAGAGGTTGGTTTCAGAGTCTTAGGCCATCACTGGCTCTGCTCAGACAAGGGAAGACACAACCAAGACCC